GTCAAGTCCCGGGCAGCAAAAAATATTGGTTTCTTGCAAAAAGAGCAGATCGCAGTGATTAGACTGGACAAAATGAATCACCTTACGTTGTTTGTTCGGGTTCCGAAGACCCTGCACATTTAACGTCAATATGTTTAGGCCCACGAAAAAGAAAGAAAAGCAAAACATGGGAGACAGTCGGTTAGAATTCCAGTGACTCCGCATATTCAAAATTGTCCGGGCCAAGACGCTTCTTTTTGACTGACGGCACCGTTTGAGCCGCCGCCAGCAGGCGAGATACCACGCTTGGCGTCTGGGCGGTCGTCTTGCATCTCGGCGTCTTCAGGAGACGCTCACTCTGCGGACGACTCAGGTGACGTCGTTGTCGTCGAAGCGTCTGGCGTAGAGGGGGGATGTCCCTGGCCTGGAATCACGTCGCCTTCCTCAACGGTGGAAAGGCGGTCGGAATCATTACTCAGTTCGTCGTCGTCAGCGCCGCGAGATCCGAGGGCCGCGTTCGACGAAGCGTCCGAGGTTTGGCTGTCGGGAGTAGCGGCCTCGTCCAATTAGGTCGAACGAGGCTTCGCTGCCGGGAATGGCGGCCGAATTCTGTAAAATATTCTAGGTTTGGCCGTCGGGAGGGGCGGCCGCGTTCGATAGAACGTGGGAGACTTCCTTGCCAGGGAAAGCGTCCGCGTTCAATGGAACGCCTGAAGCTTGGCTGTCGGAAACTCCGGCGTTCGACGAAGCGTCGGAGTCCAAGTGAACAGGGGGAGGTGGAATAGTACGCAGGCGGATGAACGGGTCCGAGTCGTCACCGCAATGCTCGGAGGCCGGGAGGGCGACGGATGCGGCAGCAGGCAAGCGAGGCAATGGCGCTCTTTCCCGGGATCCAGTGACTTTAATTACGTTGACGCTTCTCGCTGCGTGATTCGTTCCTCGGTGTTCTTATTAGCTAATGCTGCCTCTTCATTGGCTCCGGGGCGACGATGAGATGCCTCACCACTCTTTGCCTTTTTTTAGGTTTGCAGTGACCATAGTCCATTTCGAAGCAAAATAATTATTGTCTTGGGTTGCCTATCAATCAACCAACCCCAGGCCTGGAGTTGGTTGATTGATAGGATCGAAGCGTGTATATATGCCTCATTTCCATGTTGATTAAATAGTTGCAGTCAGGGCTCGTGTCTGTCTTGTCTTTCTTTCTTTTGTCCTCGCCCAAAAAAGCGCTACAATGCCTTTGGCAACCCAAGACCAATACCAACTAGCCCAGCATACAGCTTTGAATTATTGTCATCATCAAAAAGAAGTTAAAAAATATAAGCTAAAAAAAAAAAGATTTGCTCTGGTATTTTAGGTTGCGCACTAACGAAAATAATTAAGGACATGAGAGAGTGAGTTATTTAGGTGAAATGCTAATCTCAACCCCGAAACAAGAAGAAGAAATAAAGTAGCGGACAACACCACACTTGTCTTATATCAGCTACTCAGGATTTAGGGTTTCGATTATGATGTAACAGACACCGCGTTTCGCCTGCTCACTTTCCTTGTTCGGATATCGTTTTCAAGAACAGTTTTTAGTCTATCAATCAACGGGTGCGCTCTGCAGATCGTAGTAATATACCTCCGGCATGCTCTGAAAGAAAAAAAAAAAAAAAAAAACGAATCTATATATTTTTATTTAGAGTTTAGAGTCTCCAAAACTTCGAGACGTGTCCCAGCAGGCTCTTAGTCCACGCATTACCTACATGTTGAGGAGGAACATCCTCCAATAATCGCAGTCAAAATAAAATATATTTCCTGACAGGTGCTGCAGAGGCTTCTACGGAAACTGGATGGATACCGGGAAACTTCAGTGCCCCCTGGAAATCTGCCTTCAGATCCACAGGCCGACCCGGCGCTACACAACAACGCGTGGTCTACATGGGGCGATGTCTCTACGTGACAATATAAAAATATATAAAAGTATGGCTAATATCTTTCAGAAATAAATAACGCAAAAAACGCATGTCTTTGTTCTTAGTTTATTGCTTTATGTTGAATGACGTGTGTAGCCACACATGAAACAAAAACAACAAACTATTGGTCGAATTAAACTCTTATATAAAAAACATTGAATGGCAGATTGCGTTTAATCCGGTGTTTTCTATCCAATAAAAAAGAAAAAAAGCCTCAGCGTACCGGACCGAGGCTTTTTACGAGCAATCCTGGAGGTTTTTTTTTTCCTGCTGTGAATGCTACATGTGTGAATTCTTCAGTATGGATTTGGGAGAGGAGGGAAATGGACTTCCCAATAACACTCTCCTAAGCACGCTCCGGCAACAAGTGCTCCAATACCGTCAAATTTATTACTCTGTGACCTCCATCACTGAAAGCATTCATTTTTATTTTATTAAATTGTCTATTTTTCACGAACGTCTGAGTAGTTTGGTAGAATGCCAGTGAAGTCGCAGCTTCGAGTAGAATCGCTGTACGCCCGAAGGCCCTCCAACGAGCGACACCCAGAAACGACTCCTTCATCGTCAACAACATCCAGAGATCATCGAAGATAACGTTCTCTTGCCGACATCGCGGTCCCAAGGTGCGTTGTCGTGGGAGTCGCCACCACACACCGGCTACGCCTACTTCTGCATATTGTTAATATAATCAATCTAGAGGAGAAGTTTCACGAACTTCCGACGCTTTTCGGCCGCTCTGAAAAGCGTATCTGTTCCCAATGGATAGAGTCCCCAGCTGAATGGAACATTTTAGAGCGCAGCAATAGCTCTTATAGGCGCCCGTTTCCAGCTTGAGCGGCGTCGCCGTCGGCGTCGGCGTAATCGCCATTTGCGTTATGGGACGGTTTCCATAATGACGTTCCAGGTTACGACACGTGTCACATCACGAGGATCACGAGTGACGTCACTGGTGACATCACCGGGCGTTGCATTATGAATAAATTTCCACTCTAAATTTAGCGGAAAAATTTGTCCCGCTGTATCTAGCGAAAAGAATTCCCCCCTAAATTCAGCGGAAAAGTTTTCCCGCTAAATTAAGGCGGAAAATTCCCCGCTAAATTGAGCGGAAAAAATTACGCGCTAAATTTAGCGGAAAATTTCCCGCTAAAATTTAGTAGAAAGATTTTGCTGCTAAATTTAGCGGAAAAAATTCCCCTCTAAATTGAGCTGAAAAAATTCCCCACTAAACTTAGCGGAAAAATTTCCCCGTTAGATTTAGCGAGAAAACAATTCCCGGCTAAATTTGTCGGAAAGAAATCACAGCTAATCTTAGCAAAAAAAACTTCCCGCTAAATTTAGCGGAAAAATGTTCCCTTGCTGTAACGGGAAAATTTCCCCGCTAAAATGGGCGGAAAAAATTTCCGGCAAACTTTAGCGGAAAATTTTCCCGCTAAATTCAGCATAAACAATTCCCCGCTATATATAACGCAAACATTTCTCGCTAAATTTTGTGGGGAATTCATTCCGTTAAATTTAGCGGGAAATTTAGCCCAAATCTTTTAAAAATGGGAGGGGAGCAGGATAGGAGGACGGGAGGGTACGTATAAGGAGGAGGGGCATATCTTCCTCTCGATACTTTTCCCTCCTCCTCCTCAAGAGCTGCGCTCTAATTCCGCGTTACAGGGTGTTGTAAACGTCTTTCATTTTTTATTCTTTCATTCATGTGTCCTGCAAGAGCCGAAGCCTAAATGCTGGTACACAGATGTGATGATGTGGCTGAATGTGGAAAAGAAGTGCAAGTCAACCGATGGATTGGCCGAGAGGGAGAAAGGAAGATGACGAAGAAGAGGGATTTTGGAGGGCGTGCTCGGAGAGCGTGAAAAGGACTGACCGAAGAGAACGTGCGGAGGGTGGAACGACACCATCGACCAGGGCAATCGGCGGCCTCCTACTGTCTGACCAGCAGCCTGTTCCAGCGAGGGCAGCGAATAGAGACCTACGCTGCCCCCGGCTTCCTACAGCGCGAGCGCTTGGTGCGGTAACTCTGGGGCCGCCGACGGAAGCCAACCGCTCCCGCTCCTGACTTCCAGCCACAACCGTGGGCCGACAACGACAGCACAAGACGCACTGCTGCACAGGGACTCAAAGACATGGTGACTGATGCGTTTTCCTTTCTTTCATTTCTTTAACTAAGTTTTCTTTTTTTTTGTATAAGCATATGAACTCTTTGATTTTTTTTGTAAATACAAGTTTTTATGAAAAACGAAGGACATTGTATCTTGTCAATTATTAACCCCAAAGAACCTCGCAACAACAGATATACCCACTGACTTCAATGGAGTGAATAGTCAGGGCATTTTTACATAAGCGTTCGCTATCGAAGATATTGACCTCCACGCTAAGTGCACTAAATATATATACTTTGGACACGCAAGAAGGGGGGGGGGGGGGAGCGAGTTTAGGTTTTGCACATTAAACGTGTTGGGGTTGCGATTGCTCGCACGTGAAACCGATAAAGTAAGGAGAGACACAAGTTGAGTACAACTTAATGTTCCATGTACAGTTTTGTGTAAAAATACAGTCTCAAAAATTTCGCCGAGTTACTAATGTCTCCTAATTGCATCTTGCGTAACATTCACTCGTGACAAGAGAGAGAAAAAAAAAAAAAAGCTCAGCGATTGTAATAATGGTTGTACCAATACATTAGAGCCTCCTCTTAACATGTCCTAACCTTTCCGAGACTTCCACGCACAGACAGTTCCAGACCACGGAGCCGAACTCAAGTTTTGAACGTACAGCAGAGGTATAAAGCCTAACATATATATTCTGTGTGCACATGCTGTGGCAGTAGTATACTGCCACAGGATGTGCACAAAAAAAAACACAAAAAAAAACATACTTTTTGTTGTGTTGTTTGGTTATATTTTTCCGGTTTATCCCAAGGCCTCGCAATCGCACAGCTGCTCAATGGCTGGGGGTAAAAACAGGATAGAGAGAAATGAGTGCCACGAGAGTCGACAGTCTAACCGCAGAAATGTTGTGTAGAAAAGTTACCACTTAAACGCATACAGGCCCGCCTGATATCCAATGTCGCGAGCAGTGGCAACGCGTCTAATTTCTCGCAAGCGGCTGGTGATTTTCTTTTTTATTACCTTAGCTGTTTTACTTTTGGCGTTCAGACGTTTATCCTCTCGACGGCAGCCCTACATCGTGTTCATACTTGCCGACGATTTGGTGAGTAGCGCATTGCGTACTCAGGGTATAATGTCGAACTGTTTCTCTAAAAATGGTTCTACTTTGTTTGCTTTCGTGCAAAGCGCGTGATGCTATTCACAGTGGGCCCTGATAATGTGCTGACTTCAAAAAGGTCCACCGTGAAGTTCCAGCTTGAAAAAAAAACATTAAGTTTTGAAAAATCAATGCCACAAATTATAGGCCCACTAGAATCAATACATCATTGAATGTTTACAAACAAATTGCAATATAAATAAAGTACAGTGATAGGAGTCGTTTGAATTAAAATCAAATTCATATTTCTGTGCCTTTGGAATGTTAAACTGGGGCTGTCGACTGATCGAACTGATAGTTTAAGCCGAAAGCTCTCGGAACGCGCCTCGTTATTGTCCCGAAAGTACAATCGGCGTCATCCGTAACTGCAGCCCCAACTTCATGTTTGAGAGGTCTGAGGCAGGAACGATAAGAAAAAAATAAGATATATTAAGTTTCAGTGTAAGGTTTAAAGATTACAGTGTCACACATTGTTTCGTAAAAACATAACAGCATTTACTTTTCTTTTTTTAGAAAAAAAAAACGCTTTTTCTTTTCGAATTCCAACTTTTTTATTTTTCGCTTCGAGATTCGATTCTTTACCTCAGTGCTATCAGTTTTTTTTTTATTTGACATTGTGTTTGTAACAGCTTTAAAAAAACGAAACAAACAAAAAACGTGGACGATAAAAGGAACAGGAACGACAGGACAAACAACAGTTACAGTTGTTGTCCTGTCGTGTCTGTCCCTTTTTATCGTCCTCGCTTTTTTTAAGCTGTTACATCCACCATGTCAAACTGTTACCAACTGACCCAGTTCAACACCTTGTTTTTTATTGCATGAGATAAGCATCAAGGGGAACATCAAACAATGTGTTGTCAATTTTTTTTTGTGTAAAAATGCTCTTGAGCAACTTCCTTGGCTTTGTTTAAAAATCGGTTCGTGCCTTTTACCGCATTAAACACCGCTTCCAGTTCATTTTTTTGCGTAAACGATTCGTAGACACTTTCAATCTGCGCGGCAAGTTGAACGAAATACACGTACCCTCTTTGGCATCATGCTCTGCGTTCCCGTCCTGTGCTAGAAGCCTAAATTGGCATCGTTATACAGCGCGTCAACTAGCGCTTTTAGGGAACTTTAGACGGGCCGCAAAAATCTGTTTTTCTACGTATGCAGCAAATTACTACAGTGGTGCGAGCAGGTGGTGGAAGTTCACAGTGAAAGCACCAAAGAATAAACTTGCCTTGTTCAAAAAAAGAAGAGAAAAACTGTTCGGGGAATTCTACGCCGCCATTTCGCAGACGATGCACGCGTAGGAAGCATTGCTGCCGACAGATGACGCACTCCGCGTAAAAAAAGCGCCGGCCGATTTTTTTTTTTTTTCGGGATTGTTTGCTATTATAACCTGTGGTTGCATGGCCTCATAATAATGGGTCACATGACTGATAGTCGCAACAACCATGTGGGAGGTCAACCACATTACCAAGTGACTCGTAGTCACGGATGATGTGGGACTTCACGACACCTGACGAAAGGGAAATCGTGAGTCGCGGCGGCTGCCCTAAAGAACTGTCGTTGCAGCTCGTCGTAGGTCAGCGCTTAACTTTTAATTTGGCTCGATAATTCGCCTGAAGCCGAACACGCTGTTCCCTTGGTGATAGAAAAAAAAATTATATCTATCTTAGTCCTGCGGGTTAAATCGAGATACACATGACGTGCAGCGCGCCTCCCGAGCTCGGAAAATCTAATGAATAAACACTCATCACAGCTTAAAACGCACTGCACATTCTGTGTCTCCCATCTATATTTGTCTATATTTGAGGAGGAAGAGATATTGAAATCGTTCAAAACGGTACACGAGTTTAGCCTTGAGTAATAATTTTTCAACCAGGGATGGAACGACGTGAGTTACAACGGCTGCCCCCAGATCAGGACGCCCAACATCGACGCGCTTGCCTGGAACGGCATCCGCCTACAGCGCTACTACACACAGCCCATGTGTACTCCCTCGCGGGCGGCACTCATGACCGGACGATATCCGATTCACACAGGTCTGTATAGAGGCTTAAGAGCAATGGCACGACAGCACACTCGTCGCTTGATATTCCTCCTGCGGGAAAATACTTGCCTCAGCTGAAACAGAAAAAAAAACTGTTTTGCCTATGCACAGGGAGGCAAAATCTCCTGGTTTACACTGCGACTCACAAATAACACCAAGTAAAGCAAAAGCTTAAAAGCTTATTTGAGATGAGCACCCGAAGGAGGATCTAGCTAGGTGTGTGGATGAATTGTGAGTAGCCACGCCAACCAGGAGGCTTGTGCCATTTTCCTCTCTTTGCATAAACAAAATAAGCCGTTTATTTAGGTTTAATTGTTTTATTCTTGACACCTACACTGATAAATTTGAGTAATTTGGGGCGTCAGCACCCTTTGAAAAGTAACAAAGTACATTGAGTAATGGAGTTAAAGCAAGAGTGCAGACTAGCTAGTTCAATATAGACATTTCAACCCACCTTCCAAAGTTCAAATGTCTACATAGCGCCTGTCCTGCATGCTTCGTGTCCTTGTCTTTTTTGCCCTATTTTATATGTTTTACATTGAGAGTCCTTAAACTTGATGTTTATCGCGGGGAGCTTCGTTGTGAGAGCGCTTTTCACGACTGACTAAGTAAGCTGTCAGAAAAAGCGCAGAGATGCTTCAGTCGACTTCCACGAAGGCGTCGTTTATAATATTCCGAGGACATGGGGTTTTTCGTATATTGGGCAAACCAAAAGTTGAGTGAGCACAAGAGAGGAGTAAACATAATTCGTCTAACTCCGAAATAGCTAAATATCTTGAAGAGTATGGTGATTGTGTGGCCGAGTGGGATGGGACAGCGGTGCTATTAAAAAAAGAATAAAAACAATTGTATGAAAAGAGTCCTCAAAGAGATAATTAGGATATAGCTTCTGTTTAAAACTGTGTAAGCCAGCCTTCAATGGCAATCGATGGTGAAACGAAGAAGTTTTATCAAGTGTACCCTGCTTGTTTTTTTGTTTTTTTTTTTGAAAGCGTGTTGGAGGTTTTTCGGAGGTTGGAAGTGAGCTTGGCCTTTGTGTTGTTTTGAACTAGCGGAAAGGTGGGCGTTAATGTACTGAGGGCGTGGTCTTTGTGTTTTCTGTGGCCCTTATGCAGTCGTGTATGCGTTACTGAAATTAAAAAAAAAAAAAAACTATTAAAATTATAAGTACGTTGTTAAAAATGTAAATGATTGAAGTAATAAATTACTGCATCAGAAAGTAATTAAAATGATTACCAGAAAGTAATTGATTAATTTTCGCGTTCTTTTTAAGCTTTTATTGCGAAATCAAAAATGCATACATCTGTTCAATGTGGTTACATTTCGTTTCTTTTCGAGATCGAATATGGGGAGGGGTTTTGGTCGTGGCAAGCCAAAGAGAGTGCAGAACACAGTCGTGTATGCCGCGGTAAACGCGGATCACAACGACCCATACACAGGGAACGAGGCACTCTCGACAGCTCGACAGTCAAAACGTGGCTGAGGGCGTTGACGTTATAATCATTCTGGTATCTTGGTATAATTTTTAGTTGTTTAACGGTCAAAGAAAGTAAACAACGTCTGTGCAACATTGAGGATTGACGCACGGAAATACAGAGATTTTTTTATGTAAGAAATCTAAACTCAATAATTTTAGCTCTTTTGGAAACATATAAGTGATTACTTCTAATTTATTTCTGAAAAAAAAGTAATTGAATTACAACGAACGTTACCACAAAAAAAAAAGGCGATTGAAGCTTTAAAAATTTACAATAAAATGTAGTTGATTATAAGTAATCAGTTTCTTGTAACTCCTCACGTACAAGTCTGCCCTGATGACCATCTTTAAAAATCACGTTTAAACGGAAGCAAAACTTTTTAGAGCGCAGCTCTTAGGGGCCCGTTCCCGGCTTGAGCGGCGTCGCCGTTGGCGTCGCCGTCGCCGTCGGCGTCGGCGTAACCAAGGTCATCCCAAGGTCACGTGACCCCCAAGGTCACGTGACCCCTCCCAAGGTCATCTCAAGGTCACGTGACCCCACGTGACCCCCTGAAGGCCACGTGACCCCTTCCAAGGTCATCTCAAGGTCACGTGACTCCAAGATGACCCCACGTGACCCTTTGAAGGTCACGTGACCCCCAAGTCACGTGACCCCTCTGAGGTCACGTGACCCCCGAGGTCACGTGGTCGCCTCCCCAAGGTCACGTGACCCCCGAGGTCACGTGACCCCCAAGGTCACGTGACCCCTTCCAAGGTCATCTCAAGGTCACGTGACCCCACGTGACCCCCAGGTCACGTGACGCCTCTGACGTGACCACGTCAGAGGCGTCACGTGACGTGGCGTGACGTGGCGTGGCGTGATCACGTGACGTGACCCCCAAGGTCACGTGGGGGTCACCTTTGGGGTCACGTGGCCTTGAGGTCACCCCCAGGTCACGCCTCCCCGAGGTCACGTTACCCCCTCCCCGAAGTCACGCGACACCCCCCCCCCCCCGGAGCATATTAAAGAATGAGGGGAGGAGGAGGAGAAGGGGGAGGGGTCTACCCTCCCCTCAGTACCCTTCACTCCTCCTCCTCAAGAGCTGCGCTCCAATTCGGCGTTACAGGGATTTGTAAACGGCTTTCACTTTTTGTTTGTTTTTTGAAAGCGTATGGCAGGTTTTGGTTGGTGGTTGGAAGTGACCTTGGCCAGTGTGTAAATGTACTGAGGGCATGTTTTTTTTTGTTTCCTGCGAACCATATGACACCCTTTTGTAGTCGTGTGTCAACTGTAGCGAACTTTCTGGCCGCGTGCAATTGGAGGGCGGTGTGGAGATGACGGGTATAAAAGAAGTGTCCTGAATAAAATTTAGTAGCTGTGTTTGAGACGTCTTGCGTTGTCCCCTCTTTGCAGCCTCCGTCTTGGGTTTTAGAAATGTTTAAAGGGGTTATGACACGAAAATGAACGGATAGATTATTCTTGAAATGGAATGCTCATACGCTATTTAGGGTATACACCATGTAACGCGATTTCTAGAGCTTTGGTAATTGCAATATTCAATTTACCAATTTTTATCGTTTTCATCTAGCGACCAGGCAACACTGCCCAAGTTAGTCACACCATGGTGTCCACAAACCACGTGACCATGAACACTCTCTCATTCTAGGCGCCTCCATTCTCGTCCAAGCTTTCCTCGCCGCGGTACGATCAAAACCGCTCACGCAACTCGGTAACCCGAACGCTATTCTCGCTCACGCCCCCATGATCTTCCACCCTGCACGCGCTTGCGAGACATTTCCGGACGACGGTGACCACGGCGAGTTCGTCCGCCACTCGTCGTCGGTGGAGCTGGTCGCCAGCGGGTCGTAGTCAGAATGAACAGCTACCAACATCTCTTGATAGCAATCACTCTCATCGCCGCTGCGATCAATGCCCAACACTTCGACAAGGCGAGCGATGCCGTAGACGTAATCGTCACGGACAAGCATGCTCGAAATGTGGAAGGTAAGCGAGGAAGCTAAAGCTCGGGACGCCAAGAGAGCCAAGCCAAGTGCGTGAAAGGAGACACCGCGCTGGAGGCTGGTTACGTAGCCAGCCTCCCGCTCCGCCCGGATCTGCCCCTCCGAGGGACCCGCATATAAATCGATTTATTTACAAAACTATCGCGCCATTTTCAAAACAAATTAAGCAGGATTATAGGAACATACAATGGGTCCTAGCAGTATAACTACCTCATAACTTATTCTTGGCGTGCCATAACCTTTATAAGGCGGGACACTACCCAGAAAAAAAAAAAAACATTTCTGCACGAAAAAGACGATTTTTAAAAATACCATATTTCCATCAAAACATCTAGAGAATTTTCCCAGAAAGTTTTATTAGTTCACAGTGCATTGTTATTTTGTTATAAATTATGTTTGGTTCACCAATGCTATAGAAAAGGTAAAGGCTGGAGCACTTTAAACGGATTTTACTCCGTAACACTTTTTGGCATAAATTCCACTTTAGGAAAAAAAACGATCGTTTGTTAATGGGACAAAAGGAGAGACTCGCTCATTGTTTTTCCAACTGAAATTTTATGTGCAGTGCAACTGTGGAATAGCTTTTTTACTTTCTGGGTGACTTTTATAGAATATTTTAAGATTTTGTCGACGACATAAAAGGCAAAGAAGTATTTGATTTTTCACTGGTATGTTACCATCATATAAATTACTTTTTGGAAATTTTGTTTTCTCAGTTGCTTCCTCCAGACATTCCGCTGCATATCAAGTGAGAAACGTTGGATATTACATTACTTTTCTAACGATAGTTTTCCTAAACAAAGTAAGTGTGTTCCTGATAAAAACAACTATAATTTATTTTGCAATTCATCTACACGGATGAAACTTTGCACTACATTCCTTCTCGCCTTCCTCGCAACTGCCAGTATATATTTTAAACGAGAGGTCTCCTCAGGAATTCAAATTAGGGGGTTGTCTAAATTTTTAGAGGGGGGGGGGGGGGGGGGGGGGTTAGTGGGGCATTGAGAATAGAGGTGTTGCTGCGAATTAAGGGGGTGCCTTCAAAAAAACAAGGAGGGGGGAGTGTACAGCCCCCTGGTTGTCGTGTAGGAAACTAACTGAGTGTAAATTTCCTTCATATTCAGCCAAAAGTTCAAAAGTCGACCATCTTGGAAAGTGTCCCTCTTTAAGTACGTTACTCGTTCCTTTTCTACAAAAGTAACTATATACGGCGCTTGTTGCCAAAAAATTAAATAAATAGAAGTAACTTGTCACTATGTAGCCCGTTACTTACATGTCTGCGCGAAACACATGTGAGCAAGAATTGCGTCGTGTCGCGCCGTCGCTATGAAGTGGCCCAATGCCGTGCTGTCCGGGGTAGTGTCAGCGACGGTTCCTGTGGTTACACTGCTTGGATACGTGATGCGACGTGATTTTCGCCAACACGTGTTTCAGGCAAAAGTTGTCCGGTGTTACACGGTACTTAGACCTAAAACCCCAACCTTTGATTCCAGTTGAAACCGAAACTAACTAGAAAGTGATGTCATGTTATATTTTTTAAAAAGGGATGCAAATGAATTGCATACGCAATTTTCGTTCATTATAAACGTTTAACACAAAATATAATTAACTTCTTTTCTTTATTTTTAGAGTAAAGAAAATATAATTAGAACGTTTTACACGAATTCAATCAAGAAAGACATAACGAATGTCTTATCGGCACCGAATCACAATGGCCGTGCTCGCCGAGCCTGGGCTTTTGCGACGTGCCGTGATCATTTCAGCGGCAGGTCCGGTCACGAATCATATCTCTTTCGACAAGTTTCTGTTTCAATGATATCTACATATCTCACCCAATCTTCCGCAATCATAAATGCTTCGCTTGTACTGAAAAAAAAAATATGCTGCCTATATGTCTTACACCCAGAAGCTAGTTAGCGTAAATGGGCGTCTGGTGTCTCAGCTGTAGATAACATATTTAGCCAGTGCAGCACAACCGCTATCCTGGCGTCTTTAACGTGTACCACGCAGTAGTGATACACGACCACACGCCGGTACGATACTCATTCAGATCGAAAAGCTGGCCATCGGCGGCAATGCGGTGGACGCCGCCATCTTTAGCTCTATTCGGGCGAACCCCCCTCAGTTAACTGAGGTAGGCCAGCTCAGTGGAACCCAACTGTCGTTAGCGGTTCAATGACAGTAGGCGCCGCAGCGTAACTCTGGCCGATCGCGATTGACTCAACTTTTGTTGGCTCAATAACAGTTGAGAACGCTCGTGTAATTAGGGTATAATGCCCCTTTTTCAGAAGCGTTTTAAATACCTTCAGGCAGAAGGACTTGGTAGATTCAGCGAATCATGCTCACGATCCCGGCTCTGTGTGTGCAATTTTATTAAGGCTGTAATATCATTGTGTAGCTTTCCATGCCGACTGAACCTCTAAAATGGAGTTTAGTATTTAGAAATGGGAGTTCATTTTTGGATTGTTTCTTTTTCTTTAGTACGGAGCTCCTCCTGATGCTTCCAAATATTCCGAAAACATTATTACGTTTTAGATTTAATAAAACGGCTAACTTGAATGAACAGGACACTTACTGCTTAGCATCCCAGACATGGTTAGGCAAGGAGTGAATTATTTTAATTTTGTTGTTTTATTTAACTACCGCGACGCTTAAAAAAAAAGAAGAAAAAAACTAGCCATGTTTAACGTTTGTCCACTAAATATTTTGCGACAAGGATGCATGTTAAAGTGCTTGGATAACCAGTATGAAAAGCTTGTATATTTATTTTTAATTATTACTGGCGAAACGTAGTGGCTGTAATTGACCTTACGTGTACAGCAAATTGTGCAAAGCACTAGCTAAACCGGGCGTATATACGTAAATGACTCCTTAAAATGCACTCCTCTGTTTCCCAGAAGAATAGTTCATAAAGTGAGTCATTCATATTCCTGGATCAGAAGAAAAAAGTGTACAAGGAGAAGGATTACAAAAGACGGGGTTTATTTAGTCTAATAATTTTAAGACCCTTGTATGCACGGACACTTTGGAGCCTAATTTTTTACTCATAAATTGTAACACGTCTGCTACGTGTAGGACAGCCTGTGCGCTTCCTCTTGACGCCTTTCATAGACTACTGACTTCACTCCAATGCACAAGTAGTGCATGTGACCAGTGGATGATCTTCAGGTTTGTTATCATTGGCTGTAGACAATAATAGGAGAAAAAGCGGAGTAACCATTTTGATGCTAAAGCCTGGGAAATAAATAAAAGATTGTTTTGTGCTCAGATTTTTTTTTTTAACATGCAAGGAACAATTAGCTTTTCATACGCTAAGAGTGCACACTGCGTTCAAAGGGCTTCAATACGGTACTTAATTTGAGAATGTTTCAATAAAAGTTTTTTTGATAACAATAAAAAATGTATAGTTATAATGACGAGACAAATATACATATATTTGCCCAGTCTTTTCTCGCTGTCTATAGCTCGGAACGTTCCATTCCTTCATAACGGGGCTGAATATACGAGTCATGGTCGCTTCCCGAACATTTTGTACATAGATAAACTTATATTTTTGACATAACTCCGTAGCGTTTGTCTTTCTAACAAATTTCCGCGCAGATTGTGGGCATATTACACGTGCCTCTGTCACGTCTTTGTTTGAACGTTGCAAAAGCTACAAGACCGAGCTTTGTGCTCTGAAATGACCTCTGGCACAAACGTCCTCGTCGAGTTCACAAGTAGTTTAAGACAGCATGCCCCGCGCTTTTAGATTCATCCTCACTCGCTCTTAGGACGGAACACAGATAGTCTTTTGCAGGCACGTAGCCAGAATTTTGATTCGGGGGAAAGGGGGGGGGGGGGGGGGCGGGCCCGCTCTTGACAAAATGCTGTATGAGGAAGAGGAGGAGAGGAGGCCCCAGCAAAACAGAAGATTTCAGGGAAGAAGGGGCGCCCCCCCCCCCCCCCCCCCCCGGGCTACGTGCCTGACCTTTTACATACGCGCAGTGCGTATAATGTGCACATGACCTCACGCTTGTATATTAACAATGAGTTTATGTATATATATAAAGCGGAGTGTTAATATAACCAGGGCCGAAATGAACTGAAAATGAATAGATGCATTGATATTTGTCTTGCTCAATTGAATCCAGGCACGCAGCACTTCGTCATCCTGCAGAGTGAACCTCGCGGACTTCCATTGCATTTCAAGCTTCTTCCTCAATGGTTTGGTGACCTGGGATACGCCTCTCAGATGCTGGGAAAGGTAGAAAATTTTATTTCAGATGTCTGAAGTCTTTTGGACATTAACCACAAGGATCAAATATTTACAGTGGCACCTGGGATTCTACAAGAAGGAGTACACCCCGACAATGAGAGGTTTCCAAAATCACATTGGCTCCTGGGGTGGCTTTGTAGACTACTACTCACATCAAAGCGAATCGGATATTTTAGGGGTATGTATCGCCACATAATTGTCGTTTTCAAACACAATTTCTTCGGCATTTAAGTTGTTTCTGACTCATTTGTAATCTCTGTTTGTGCATCATTACCAAGACATCAGCTGTGCAAAAGCACAAGAAGGGAAAAAATGAATGAGCGAATGATTAATTCAATGAATTTTACCGACTATACATACATTTAAACTAGCACAGTGCTGTGAACGTGATACCAACGACTCTTGTATGTTCATGGTTGGTCTCAGAAGCATATACAAAGCAATAGAAGCTAGAAGGGGGAGCTAAAAATATTCTTACTGAAACGCGAAACAGATGTTAAAATGTTGGGTGAGATGGGGGACATCTCCACTATGGTTTCATAAGCCTATTTTGTTAGATAAAGATCGATTGAGATAAAATGCACAAAAACTATCACAACTTCACAACTTGTTGTGTTTTTGTTGGTCTTCCTTCACTTAGCTGCAGTGTCTGATCAGTACTTTAATTCTGTTTTAGACATTTTAGACAGTTGGTAAAGCCAATAATTCGTTACAGGGTATTTTCGAAACTTAGTATGGCAGAAAAAGTGAAATAGAAATTAGAAATTCCTAAATAATCAACCTTTTTTAAAAATTTAGTCTTGATTTTATTCTTCCAGGGGCAATTTATAGGACTCGATTTTCATCAAGGTCTGTCAGAGGCCAGAGAGTTGAATGGCAAGTACTACACCCAGCTCTTAACAGAAGAAGCTACCAGAGCCATCAAAAACCACCCTCTGGGAAAGGTGCCTGAACATGCTGCTCTTTCTAATGGCCGCTAGCTTTAGACCACCATGCGTGCTGCAGTGAAACGAAACTGCCCAACTCGTTTTGTACAGTGTTGTTTTGTTTTAGAATGAGAAATGGAACCACGCCTCTACAAGGTGTCCCACCAAAAATTGTACAGTTTCTTTTTTTTTTTTACTGCAAAATTAAACTCTGCATTACCAAATGCTCATTCTCCGCTCAAACGTAGCCCTAGCGGTCTCAACTAGATGTCAAAGTTTCTAAACTAACCGTTATATTATTCAAAAGTTATAAGTAATTTTCTTAAATGTTCAATGGGAGAATGTCTGTTTTCGTCCGTTTTCGCCAGTCTTCGCCAACTGGCGCCATAAAGCGCCGTCTAACTTAAGAGGCCAATCGGCCGCATTTTTCCATTGAAAATTTCAAAAAATCGCATATAACGTATAAATAAGATAACGTTTGGGGGTATAACTTTGGCAGCTGGTTCGGACCTCTTGCGCTCCATTTGGACGGTGAATAAGCGTTCGGCAATGCGTAGTTTATTCTTGCGGTGAATAAAACACCGTAAATTTGTTTGGGGGACGCCCTGCACATTATTAGAAGGTTCTACTAAGGCTGCTTACTGCGCTCTACGATAGAAACATAAAACAACTACAATGCAGAAAACAACAACGATTAAAATGTTGACGTCGGACAACGACGAATTTACTTTTAATTTGAAACATTTCTTCGGGCTGACCGTCCGCTACTGAGCTCAAGTTGTATACCGCAATGACTGGTTCTGAGTTCCTTACGGGAAAGTAATCGCCACAGACACATATACTTCACTCACCGCTAAGCTTATAGAACAGGGGGGCTACGTGCTCACCGGACCAATGCATCAACTGCCTTTCATCGCCTGTCTCCATTGTTCGTGCGAAAGCAGCAGCATCCTAACAAAAGAAGGCTGCGTACAGTCTCCTATGGCTTCGCGGAACGTAATCCCACTCTGATGGTGCCAGCGCAGCGACAGGGTCCGAGCGTCCTCCGGTACTGGGCAGGACGTCTAGCCGAGCCTTGAGGCTGCGCTCCTGTCCAGTGCTTGTGCGCTCACTGCGATAACGTCGAAAAGTTAGTGCTCGTACGGCTCAGAGAGCAGAATGACGTGGTCACAAGCAAGTAGATTTTGTTGGCAATCAGGTCAGCTGAACACGGAAAAACAAGAACACGAAGGCAAGGACTGGGCAATCACAGAACTAACTGACTTTTACTTTTTTTCCTCATCCCAGCCTAGGCCCCTTCATTCTTCGTCCTGCGGCACATTAAACACATTTATAACAACCTTTTAGCCTACTACTCAACGGGGTGTGGCAAACCGGAAATACTGGCGATCTCTTTCGTGAATCTTCTCCTTTTTCTTCAATCGCGAAAGCCTGCACTTCACGCGCGAAAGAGTTTTTGATCATGTGAAGGAAGGCTATGCTGGTGATCTCTGCATTACAACCACACGTCTGGCAATGAGCTGACAAGTGTCCCGCTGATGTACTTTTCACCGACGCTGCGTGCTCCCTTGCTCTATCGTTCATACATAATCCAGTTTGGCCGATGTAGCTCTTCCTGCAAGAGAGGGGAATATTACAGACGACCCCTGTTTCGCATTGGGCATAGCGTCTTCTATGGGCTGTGTCAGATATCGGCTGTTGATCACGTCCTTTGTTGACCCTGCGGCACAGGACGTATGCATTTTTCGGTGCCAAACAAACAACCTGAATATCTTACCTGCCTGTGATCTTTTTTAGTCTGTGGGTGACTCATGAATGTAGTATTTTTTAGTCTGTTATCCACAGACTAAAAAAGATCGCAGGCAGGCAAGATATTTAGGTTGTTGTCCTACATTAGATCGTGAAGTGCCGGAGGCTTTGGCCATTGAAGAAAAAGGAGAAGATTGTGTGAGCACTTATCAATTGCGACTCACGAAAAAGAACGCCAGTATTTGCGGTTTGCCACACCGCGTTGAGCGGTAGGCTAAAAGGTTGTTTTAAATGTGTTTAATGTGCCGTAGGACGAAGAGGAAAAAGTAAAACTATGTCGTTAGTCAGCGGTCTGGTTGTCCAGTCCTTTCCTTCGTGTTCTTGTTTTGCAGCGTGAGCTACACTGGCCGAGGTTGAGCAGTTTCGCGTGGCTCGCATAATGAGCCGTGCTCCGTGCTGCGCATGCGCGAAGAGCAGTGACGTCACACGGAGCACAGCTGGCGCGCCGGAGCCGCCGCGCGCTCCGCCGCAGCCGCGCCCGCCTCGCCGGTCTGAGCATTTCAGAGGAGTGACGTCACAGCCGCGGCAGACGCACTGGCGCCGCCGCGTGCCCAGCTGTGCGGCTCCGTTGCGCAGTAGCCAAGCCTGACGCTGCACCGGAGCCTCTTGATAGCGCCTCTCATTTTGTGCGCATAAGCTCACGCTACCTATATCCTGGCATAGCCGAGCTAAGCCACCGCAATTTTTTTCCGTGTTCAGCCGACCTGATTGCCAACAGTATGTGCCAACTAGCGCAACTGAAAACCGTAAGTAGATTTCATCGCCCCATCATTTTAGTTGTCAGCGGAGTACACGGCCAGCAAGTATTTCAAAATGCGGGTTTGGATCATCGGAACGCAAGGAGGGGCACGCCGATCCAAGGACAACATAGATAACGTGTAGGGAAAGCACGACGACGAGGCAACCAAGCTCGCGCTGTCGTTGGTTAAGGTTTGGGGAAACAAAGGCAGGTAGAGAGATTTGGGGAGTCTAAACAAACGCACAAGGCGCGCAAAGAGCAGACCAACTTGCATGCCGTATAGTAATCTATACCTCAGATAACACAGAAAACTATGGGTGCGTAGGATTGGATAACAACACATAGGCGATACGTTCAGAAGAGTATTATATATATATATATTTTTTTTTTGTAGAAGAGCTTCTCAGGCCAAGCTCCAAGCATTTCGCGTGTTTTATGCGCAACCGTAATGCTCATGTTTCTCTCGTTATGTCTTTTACGCACATTTAATAAACTTTCTTTCCATCACAGCCCCTGTTCTTGTATCTGGCCCATCAAGCACCACATGTTGCTAACCCGCAGGATCCTCTGCAAGTTCCGAAGAAATACAGCGACAAGTATCGTGACATAGGCTCCCGGAACAGAACCCTGTACGCGGGTATGCCTTCTGGACAATTAGAGCTAGTTCGTGGCTTTTTTTTAAAATTGCATTTAGCCAATAATGCGTTATACTGCTAGCCTCTATCGTTCATATCTTGTGTCACGGAAGAATGACACACGACACGTTATGGTCCTCTTTTATTTTCTTGAGGTGAATTATCTAGCGGAAGCCAGGGCAAACTTATAACAATTCAAGAACTGACAAAAACGAGAAAAAAAGCTTTACTCATTAACGTTTTTCTTATTGACTGACACGTTTCAATCAGCTTTTTAGCACTGCCTAAAATAAACCTTTAAGGTTCTTAGAGTTTAGGAAAATCATTTTATGATTCGTGCGGATGCGAGGATAAACGATAGCTTTCAAGGATCTCCCTAGCCGAAATTAAGACGCAAAAGCGAGCAGGAAGCCCCGTTCTGAAGAGACGTTACACACGGCGGTGGGAAGCCCTCGAGGTGTTGTTGCGCTGGGGAGGAAATATGAAGTGAAACAGTATTGGGTGTGCTCCATGACGCACGGGTCACTGTCTCATGAGACCTCCAGCAGGCGTGAGCCGAGTCTATGAGAAACAGAATATACCTTTGGGTTAGGTGCTGTCAGCGTTATTTCGTCACGTCACGTTTACGTCGCGATCTGTCATCAGCTCTGGCCAGATGGTGCTTCTGCGCGCCATTTGTTCTGAGTCTTGATACCGCTTACCAAGACAGGCCTCTCACTTTACTGGCGTAGAGCAGCATTGTGTTCTTTCAAATTTACAGACAGCCGCGACTTGCGCTTAGGGCGTGCTACAAGGCTCTAATGTAAAGCAACGTGTTAAAACTAATAGTGAAAAGATTATTGAGTAGGTTTTACTTAAATAAGTCCCCAATTGGCATTTAAGAATAGTGTCCTGTAGCCCTCTATGGACGATATTGGTTTTTGATACGGTCAAAATAAACAACGTTCTCTATGCCTGGGACGAGGTTAGAAACGAAAGATATCAGTGCTCATCCTATCCGAGTACGCAGGATAGGGATCAATGACATCACAACAAAGCACGCTTCAAACTAATTAACATAAATGCTCGAAGTATTGTAAATAAAGTTGACCTAATTGAAAACATTTTTCTTGAACACGAACCGGACGCTATGGTAATTACAGAAACGTGGCTACATTGCAATATTCTAGACAGTGAAATTACACCATTAAATTATACTATAATTAGGAAAGATAGGGAAGAACTTGGCGGAGGGGTAGCAATTTTGATCAAAAGCGATATTGTATTTACTGCACTGGATGAGGTTCAAGATATCAAAGCTCTATGGGTCCAGATTAGAATGAATGACCGGGTTATAGTCCTGGGCGGTGTCTACAGATCTTCCAATTCCTCAGTTGACTTTTTAGTCAGGTTGCGACAATATTTCGACTCTGTAATATGTCATAATAGAAACACCTTCTTAGTAGGGGACTTTAATTTACCAGGCATTGACTGGAGTACGCTTTCGGTGGGAACAACAGACGGGGCCAGCTGCGAGCAACTACTGGAAATTGCATTTTCTTATAATTTATCTCAAGTTGTCACAGGACACACAAGAACGACTTCTACTGCATCATCATTACTTGACCTAATCTTTGTTTTGCACAAACCTAACACCTCTTCTTTCGGAACGTGAACTTTTTGAAGGCATCTCAGATAACAAAATGACATGCATGACGCTAAACTTCAGCCCCCGCAGGCTTGGGCGCCCTCCGCATAAAAAGCTAGGTCCTTAATTTTGAGACAGCAAATGACGTTAGCATTTTAGATTATCTTGAGAAATTGCTTGAAGACTTCCAGTCATTCTACCAGTTAGGCCTGGTTCACACTTACATCTAATCCGCTGCCGCCGAAGCGGAATCGGCCGCGGCAATGCACAGTGGACGCTACGCCCGGCGGCCGAATTCTGGCAGATTCGCCCGCCGATTCGCAAGTGTGAACCAGGCCTTAGAAGCTGCTACCGAAGTTTTGTGGATTTTTTTGCTGATGTGAAAGCACACTGTATTAGTTCATTTGTGCCTACGCGTATCAAAATAATAACAAATAAGAACCCCTAAATCACCAAAGAAATTATACATGTAAAAAAAAAAATTAAAGAGATGTCGGAAAGGGAATGCAATTAATCCAAATGCCTCTAGGAAAATGACACTGCAAAGCTTCAGTCACGACCTGAAGAGGCTTGTTAAAGATTCGAAGCATACACTTTACAGTGTCACTCTTAAGAAATTTATTACAAAAGCCACGGCTAAATTCTGGCGATATGTTAATCCCCCCCCCCCCCCCCCCCCGAGAAAAGGAAATTACTTCCGACAACAGTCAGCAACGAGCGGAAGAATTCAATACCTTTTTTTCATCTGTGGTCACTCGAGACAACCAACCAGAATGTACAAATTTTGCTGGTTATCCTCCAATTAGTGGCTTATTAATTCAAGAGGAGGGGGTCATTAACCTCTTGCTTAACATAGATCTAAAGAAAAGTCCCGGGCCTGACGGAATTCCTAATGCGTTTTTGAAGCGGTAAGCTGAATGGTTTGCCAAATATCTTACTATAATTTTTCGGTCGTCTATAAATTATTTTTCCGCGCCGAAAGCCTGCAAGATTGCCAAAATTGTACCCATACATGAAGGAGGCTCTGTTTCGTGTGTGGAAAACTATCGACCTATATTTCTCATTAACAAGTCCTCTAAGCTTCTCGAACATATTGTTTCAAAGCATCTTTCAACGTTCCTTAACGATCACGATATTTTGTATCAATATCAACATGGATTTCCGTAAATGTCTTTCCACAACGACCCAACTCATCGAAACCGTGCACGATCTTTCCCAAACTATAAATAACCGTGGCCAAACGGACGTCATGTTTTTAGATTTTGCAAAAGCATTCGATAAAGTGTATCATCCTAAATTGTTGCTTAAAATTAACACTTTGTTTAAGAACCTCATTATTACAAACTGGTTTTGCTCGTATCTTTCATCAAGAGTTCGTTGAGTTGGGAGGCTGTGTGTCGAGACCCGCCCCAGTTGCTTCTGGAGTTCCACAAGGTAGTGTGCTAGGACCGCTTTTATTTTTAATATTTATAGATGACATACGCTGTGAAATATCAGTTCCAATTAAGCTGTTTGCGGATGATTGTATTTTGTACAATTATTTATTTATTTATTTATTTACCCTAAGGGCCCTTTTGGGCATTACCATAGGGGGGAATTCATACAAAAAGAACACGTTGACAGCAGTGATACACCAAAAACAGGAAAAAAAAAAAGAAAAAAAGAAAGCCGCAGCACACAAAAAAGCAGTACATATAATCACAAAGTTCAATTGCTGCACTTCAATGGTAACATTATACAAATACAAAAAGAAAACCAAGGACACACTGCAGAACTATGGCTTATCTGCGATGAGGGGCAAACATGATTAGGTTTTTTTTTAAATGAAAGGAATCAGGAGATTTAAAAAAAGCCTGATAATCATGTGTCACTGCGATGTCATACGGTAAGGCATTCCATTCAGAAACGGCAAGGTTAAAATGAGAGCATTTGTATAGGTTAGTGCGTGCAAAAATCGGGGTTACTTTGTTGGGGTGGTCTTGCCGTGGGAAGATACGGTTAGCTGGAACAATGTGTGTTTGACGGGAAGGTGTAGAAGAGTGATATATTTTATGAAATAAAGAAAAACGGGCGATTCGCCTTCTGTTCTCGAGAGATGCTAAATTTAAGGACTCTTTTATACTTGTTATACTACAGGTGGTTGAATAATTGCGTGTTATAAACCGGGATGCCTTATTTTGGAGAGACTCTAATTCATTAACTAGATAGGCTTGGTGGGGATTCCAAATAACTGACGCATATTCTATTTTGCTTCTTACAAGGGATGTATATGCCATTAGTTTTTTTTGGTGTCAGATAAAAAACAAGTTTCTTCTCAGGAATCCCAGGGTTTGATTAGCCTTTCGTAATATTGTCTCAATATGTAATTTCCAAGATAACTCTACTGTGAGGTAAACACCTAAGTACTTAAATGATTGCACCTTTTGTATATCTACACCATTAATTTGATAAGTATGCTCGGGATTGTTGGTTTTTGTAGTGAACGTCATATGTTTCGTTTTATCCGTATTTATCTGCATTTGCCAATCAACACACCATAGTGAAATTTTGTCTAGATCTGCCCGAAATAATGCGCTATCAGAGGAGGAAGATAGAGTTCGGTAGATGACGCAGTCGTCTGCAAAAAGTCGGATCGTGGACTGAATGTTTACGTCAATATAATTAATGTATAATAAGAAGAGGAGTCGCCCAAGCACTGATCCTTTCGGTACACCAGATTTTACGGCTATTGGGGGAGAGATCATGTTATCGATAACAACACTGACGTCTATATGAAAGAAAGTCTGAGATCCATTTAATGACACCCGTTTTTATATTAAAATAGAAACTGAACAAGATCAACTAAAACTGCAAAACAAGCTCTTCAATATCAAACATTGGTGCGACGAGTGGCAAATGGAGTTAAAAGCTCTAAAACCAGTCGTTATGTCTATAACAAAAAAACATATCCTAAATTATGATTACTTTATCGATGAGACCAACCTACCTTGTGTAGACGAAAATAGGTACTTAGGATTGACCTTTACACGCGACTTACGATGGAATACACACACAGAAAAAGTGTCCAGAAAAGCTAACCAGGCATTATGGTACCTCAGAAAAAATCTTGCAAGCGCTTCGCCAGAAATAAAAACATTAGCTTACAAAACACTCGTGAGACCTATCCTTGAATACGCAACAGTAGTGTGGGATCCATATACAGTAGCTAACTCGTCCAAAATTGATAAAGTCCAGCGGCTTGCTTCCAGGTTTATCTTTAATAAATATCATCGTAACCATTTCCCCACCGAACTCTGTAGAGACTTGCTGAACTTCCTTCTCTTGAATTAAGAACAAATTGCGACCGCCTGAAATTCATTTTTTGATCATTCACGGTCTAGTTAAGATAAAGAAAAATAATTACATGGACTTACGCGTCAGTTCTACTGTCCGCTTTTTTATTTTTTCTACGGCTCGGGGTTACTATGGATATAATGTACGCGACATCGTCATAGCACGCACATCAGGGAACCATCTCTCAAAAATGATTGTTTTAAATTTAGTTTCTTTCCTAGGGCAATAACGGAATGGAACCAACTCCCGAATTCCGTCGTCACTATGACAAATGTCTGTGATTTTGTTAAAAATATGAAGAGTATAATGTTGATAATGTGCCGCGATTGTGTGTTTTGAATGTATTTCTTTTGTTTTTTTATTCCACGGGGTGAATCACGTTTTTGAAGTGTCAGTGCATGATTGTTATTTTACATCATGTATGCATCATCTGTCCTGTAAAGGCCTTTTAAAGGGCCGACAGTATCAATAAATAAAATAAATAAATAACTTTATGTCCCATAAAAATCAAGAACAGCAACAATAATAATAAAAGCGATGAATCGATCTGGTTTACTTTTACCTCTATTCGAAACTCTCCATTTCAGTACTTCATTTTTCGCCCATGTTATTGATTCTTTTGCATAAGTTAGCTATCCCCTAGCGCACCCAATATACTAAATGGTGAGCGTTAAAGGAAAACAAAAAATGTAATGGTTTATTTCTTTATTGTTTATTTGTCACGCTTTCTCGTTCTCTACGTCTTTCAGGCATGGTGTCCGCCCTCGACGAATCAGTGGGCGCGGTTGTTGAAGCCCTCGGGAAACGAGGAATGTTGAGCGACACTGTTTTGGTGTTCTCGTCGGACAACGGTGGCGACACGAACGGCGAAGACGCGAACTACGCCTCTTCGTGGCCCTTCAAGGGGCAGAAAACGACGCCTTGGGAAGGAGGGGTCCACGTTCCCGCCATAATCTGGAGCCCATTGTTCAGTGGAATGCGGGGCTACGACTACAGTAACCTGTTTCACATTACCGACTGGTTACCCACCTTATACCAACTTGCTGGTGAGTGGCACTTGCACCGAAAACAAGTAGGCGGTATACGAGCCAATCATGTTCCGCTAAAAAGTTAATCAAAATAAAACCTGATTGGCTTCCAATCAATCAACGAAATATAAATTAGCTTATTGTGACAAAACGTACACACTTGGGGCGAAGGAGCCATTAAAAACTAAAGCTGCAAAGTTACAGTCCTTAATGCGTAAATGTTTCGGATGTTCGGGCGGATGCACATACCTGATGCTTCATTCGTATAAAAACAGCGTTGATACTGGCGAGGAGATCGAGCTTCAGAAGGTGCTTTGTACAGCGTATTTTCAACAAAGCTCGGTGTTTACCGAATGGCAATGACTGCGGAGTGGATTATTTATGACACTTCCGTCGATTGAGCGCGATACTCAGGACACAGCACGCGCATGTCCTGTAAGGGTTCAATTTGGCCTCTCGTTCAATCGGTGCCTCACTGACAAGAGCACGAGCCCCAGCCGAACGATGACACAGCGTTCGACTACGTAAACCGAGCCCTGCATCATAAGCGCAACTAAAATAATTCACTATTTTGTCTTATTGTCTCCGTAAGTTCAGCTCTCAACTTATGCACTAGGAGCAAGACGGTTGGACCTTCTCCCCTATATATAGCTTGCAGGTGACGTCATTTTAGGCCATGCTATAGGGAGTATTTACTGGCGCCATAGCTGTGTGCGCCAATGCTGAGCGGATGCTGACGGCGAGCTTCCACAATTCTTTTGCAACGTGCATTCCGCGCCATCAAGATTGCCGGGCTTAGCAACCTATTAATGTGAGCTCGTTCTGAGCATGCGCTCTAAACAGCACCCACAAATATGGCGTCCAGTGAATACCCCCTATAGTATTTGATGTTCCGCGAACATTCGCTTCGCCACGTCAGTTTCACACCGCACAAGTAGTAGTTCGGAGGAACTAGTTAGTAGAAATAACCGTCGGGTACCCAGCGAATGGCGACCCTTGCGATCAGTGTATGTTTGGCGTGTGTTGAATGGACGCTTCTATAGACGAATACGCTGCTGACAACCATGTCAGCGTTTGCCCACAACAGTTGTGGCTAGTGCGCGTGCGCAGAAACAAGATTCACGTGGATCGGCTGCGTATGCGCCGTGTCCACAGCAATGCTTCCGCAGCGGCTTGACGTCACAAGTGCGCTTTGGTGCATATACTGGGTGTCTCAAGTAGCGGCCAGGCTCTTTAAATTGACCGCCAAATTCGGTTTCTTAGCCTGTCGTGCTACGATTTTGTGCAGCGTTTCCCACGGGTGGTGAATTTTTTCTATAAAATTTGCAAAGAGCGAACGTACTTGAGGAATGAGTAAAAAAAGAAAAAGGATTAATCCCTATGGAAACGCAGCGAGCCATCGGTCTTCAAACAACAGGGTGCCTTATTGATAGAAGACCGGTGGTTTCGCTAGGTTTTCATTGGAGTTAAGCTTTTTCTTTCTTTACTTCTTTCTCAGGTAAGTTCGCTCTTTCCAAGTTTTATAGAAAAAATGCACCACCTGTGGGCAACGCTGCACAAAATCGTAGCGCGATAGCTTATCAAATCGAATTTTGCGGTCTATAGGGAGCTTTCGTAGATCTTTTTGGCCGTACACCCTTAGAAAAAAGGGTATGGATAGTCCTCCCTTAGGGGAGGAACGGTCTTGTAACCTATGTTCCTTTAGAAAGGGAGAAACTTTCGCCCCTGAAGCAGGGGAGCAAAGTTCCTCCGTCGCTTGCATCTCAATATGGCGGCCCCGAATCGAGCAAATCGAGCCCAATAAGGCTTAACGAGGACGCTACGTCTCTTGTACGGGACGAGAGCAGCAGCAAATAAAAGCGTCACACGAGCTTTCCGCAAACTGTGTTTATTCCCGAAGCCAGATTCCCCCCACAGGTACAGAAACTTGCGTTTCGAAAGCAGCTACTCAGTCTTCTCGTCGACAGCACTGCGAACTTAAACAGAGACAACCGATACCCAGTTACTTCGCGCACTTTGCGTCTTACCTTTGGTGTTCCTCGAGTCACAATTCCTTCGTCAACCGCACATCACGGAGGAGGGCAAACTCAATCCGCGAACCAAAAGCCGCTCTCGAAAGAACAAACTCGAAGCCGCTGTTTATCGCGTAGCGTGAAAGGTTAAATCGCTAGCCACCAGATGGCGGGGTCAAGCAGAGTAATTGCAAGTAGCTAGGCTAGGTGGCGCTAGGTACCGCCCAGTTCATGTTCTACAAAAAATAATTGGCTCCACTCAGAGCCACTACTGCGCTTCAGAGCAGTTCTCCTGCGCCTTGGGGATCCTCTACTATACAAACATTACGCTTATTACAAACATCAGGTGAACATACATTGAGCACATAAACGGCACACACAAATATCAATACAACAGAACCAGGGTGTCGAACCGGAACCGAACCGAACCGAAACCCGGAACCGAACCGGTATTTTTTCTGGAACTGAACCCGAACCCGAACCGTTATATTGTTATCGCGACGAACCCGAACCGGAACTGAACCGGAAAAAAAATAACGGTTACCGGCTCATGTCAAAACGGTTCGGCCACGCGCTGTTGACAATGAATGTGCTATCAATGCCATTTGTTCTTTAAGTGCCGTCAACTGACACACACCTACCTCGCTTACATATTTTTCTTCTCCACTCAGTCTTAGGAATATAAACGCTGCATCCATGAATCTTGACAAACGCTGCATCCATGAATCTTGACATAGGAACCAGTATTGCGCTGGTCGCGGCTTGCACGGAAGAAAAAAAATTGGAAGGTTGAGCAAAAAAAAAAAAAATCGCGTCACGGGATTTCATTTTCCTACAATCTCGTAAATCCTAAATGCTGCCGTCTGTTCATTTCATAACACGTTTCTAGAGCGCGCGAGTTCTTGAAGCTTGCTTCCATCGGAATGAGAAAAGAAAAGGCTGTGGAGTTTGATAATAATGCATCCGGTTTCGTATAGGCACTTAGAAGCTAACATATTTGTGAGACAGCGAACTCTTCTATTTTAATATTTATCCTATTACGTCCTTCTGGCGTTGCGTTCGGTGAAGTGTTTTTGATATTCCGTATCTTGTTTAATGAAAACTTCTTTAAGGGTCTAATTTGAGTTACCGAAGGCTAGTTCAAACAAAGAAAGCTGTATTTTCTCCCCACTGTTCCTTCAATTGCTTACACGCCGGGGTGGCGGGATAGTTAGCGAGTTCTACTTGTAAGTGGGTTTGTAAGGAGGTCGCGGATTTTACAGCTACTGCGTCGGACCCAATTAGATGAAGTCCGAATGCGTAAACGTCGGTGAGGTAACCTTTGAGTGCACATAACGAAACCATTCCTGGTAGAAATCCCTGAGCCTTACACTACGATGTATCCCGTTTCGTATGTGCTGATTTCAGATGTTTTATTTGTAATTTATTTTGATGTTGCAATTTGTAATTTATAATTTCCGAACCGGTTCGCGAACCGGTTCAGCGCCCCGAACCCGTTCGCGGATCGAATTAATCGAACCGGAACTGAACCGGAACAAAATAAATTTACCTGAACCGTAACCGAACCCGTATTTTTTTCGGTTCGACACACTAAACAGAACACCACACTAACCCGAACACTACCCCGTGCACTGCGTTTCCGTCTTTTATACTGGTCGTTTTGAACGTACGGAACTTTTCGGTGACTCCCTAAGCAATAAAAAATATTCCCAGCATGTTGATTTTTTTCCAGCAATGTCATACCTCTGAGAGTATTTTAAATGACTCAGGGGATGAATCTATGATTAAAAAGTAAACGCTCGATCATGCTGTAATTATTTGAAAGCCAATAAATCAAGCCGCTTTAATGCGGTTCGAAGCCATGAGTTTGTTTCCCCACACGGCACGTCGTAGCCTGTACTTCTATTGGTTTTCCTATTTGTGCTGTTCGCACAAAGGTGCAATTGCCGTCTTGAATTAATCTCTGTAGAGCGGATATTCACTCAGCTGGAAGTGATGCTTCCCATGCTGAGAAATCGCTTTTCGATCAACATGAATGCAGTCAAAGCTGCGACTCGCAGCAGGTGTTAAGTGTACGGAGCTACGCCGTGGCGAGCCCGAAAGCTTCTAGCGCTCATCCCAGCGCGCCACTTGGAGGGCAGTTTCTCCAGGAACCGTAGTATATTTAAACAGCAAAATAAAGGGTAGCTTTTTTTTTTTCGATTTTACCTACTATTGTTTTTTAATGCCGAAATTCCATACTGTAAATATACGTACTTTCCGTCACGATTTCGTACTGTTCAGTCCTTGCCCCAGAGCGCAATCGATCTCGGGGACGAGACAATTCCGACAGTCATATTGGCCACTGTACGATAGCGATAGGAGCTTCTACTGTTCAGACCCGCGTTCGAACATGACTATCCGCACGTTGATCGATTGCACGTAATCCCTCAAGTGGTATTAAAATTTTTAATGTAAAGCGGAATGTCAACCTGCGACACCCCGCCCCCTCATCACGGCCCGAGCCACGGCATTAATGCCCGACAGTTTACGATCCTATCTTGTTGTTACACCACTGATACGCGAACACACGGTCACATCGGCGATAATTCGTCTTCTGTTCACAACCCACAACACTGCCATCACGATGTTGCAGCTATGTTGCTGACACGCAGAAATACAGAACCACGTCGAACGCCGGTTGCACTCGGCATCGGAAGCAGAACCGAACTCAGCACGGAAGGCACCCAGGCAGCCGGCAGCAAAACCTGCCTGTCTTGGACGCGGTTCCTGCAGTTTCCATAACGTCGAAAACGTCGACACAGTTCCACGTGGTTTCGCTACTGTAGTGACTGTAGTTCCGTCGGTTCGCCGCGCGCGCGAGTCCGTAATCCGGAGACGGCCATCCCCCAGTGTACGTGGCGCTGCTGGCACTGCTCCGGAACTTCGCTGTTTCTAGGGGCTTCGTTTGCTCGTTTGATAAAATTAGTGCTAAAAACGTCAATGAAACCGAAATGATCTGCTCGTTTCGACTAGAAGACGGAATTACAGGCGGCCTTCGATGCCGCTGAAGCTCAATCAACTCAACAGCTATTTATTAAACAACGTGCGCGACCTGCCCGAAAAACGAAACCGAAAGACGATGAGTCGGGAGGGCGAAAGCTTTCTCCCGTCTGCCTGGAGAAGGGGAAAAACGTTTCGTTTCTCCACTTTTCTCGTGTCCGCTTGGGGGCGCGTCAGTAGAAGGGAGGAAGACGCGCCGTTGCTACTTTTTTCCTCCATTCTTTTCTTAGAGTGTACCGCAACGCCCTCCACAACCCGCTACGGGACCCGTCACTCTACAGTCAATGCCATGGGCGCGCAGGCGCAGTAGCGGCTTCTTCGTTGCAGAGGGCTTGGCGGAGGGGGAAACGCGGTCTACAAAAGCTCCCTAATTTAAAGAGCCTGGTCGCCATTTGAGACACCCGATACTACAGTTGGCAATCGTTGCAGGTGGTGACCCCTCGGATCTGGGCGACATCGACGGGATCAGTCAACTAGAGGCACTTAGACGCGGGAACGAGGCGCCGAGGAAGGAACTGCTCATCAACATAGATCCCGTCGATAACGTCTCCGCCATCATTGAGGGTCATTTCAAACTTGTCAGCGGTGTCGTCAGTGAAGGCGTGCTCGACGACTGGTTTCAGGTCCCCGGGAACGTCAGGTGGGGCTCCGACAGAGCTCGCCGGGAGTGCGAGACCTCCGTTGTGGCACAGGTGCTGAGGAACGCCGGTCACGGTGTCGCCTGCGGTTCGGGAGACGGATCCTACGCGACTCCGATAAAATGCGACGAGAGGGGTCCGAGAAATCCATGTGCTCCAGCAGCGGCGCCTTGTCTGTTCGACTTATTCAAGGACCCTTGCGAGTACAACAACATTGCGGAGGAACACCCCGAGGTATGTTAAAAAGAGAGATAGCTTACTTCTCAATATTAGTACAGTAGTGAATACTGTATTTCGGGACGAGAATTGATGAGGAGAATAACCGCGAAATCTTACTCATAATCGGCGATAGGTTGAGAGTTGGGCGGAAGCTCCTCCCGCCCTCTTTCCAGTTTATCAAAGCGAACGTTGGAGAGGAAGAGACCTCTTCTCTCCAGCGTTCGCTCTGCAAAACTGTAAACGGGTGAAAGGAGCTTCCCTTGAATTCTTATCTTGTGACCTACTATATTTAGGCAAATGGGCCGTTCGCAAAAGTGTAACCTTGGTATTGGTAAAATGAAGCGTTTCATTCAGAGTGCTACTCTTAGGCGCCCGTTTCCGGCTCGAGCGGCGTCGCCGCCGGCGTCGGCGTAACCGTGCGGTGCATTATAAGTAAATTTCTCCGCTAAATCTAGCGGAAAAATTTTCCCCGCTAGATTTAGCAGGAAAATTTCCCAGCTACATTTACCGGAAAAAAAAGTTCCCATTCCCCGCTAAATTTTGCGAAAAACGTTTCCCGCAAAATTTAGCGAAACATCTTCCTGCCAAATTTATCAAAAAAATTTTCCCCGCCCAATTTAGCGGAAAAATTTCTCTGCTAAATTTAGCGGGACAAATTCCCCTCTAAATCTAGCAGAGAATTTCCCCACTAAATATAGCGGGAAATTTTCCCCGCTAAATATAGCGGCAAGATTTCCCTGCTAAATTTAGCGGGAAAATTTCCCAGCTAATTTTAGCTGAAGAATTCCCCGCTAAATTTAGCGGGGAAATTTTCCCCTAAATGAAAGGCGAGCAGGAGAGGAGGAGGGGCATAGCCCCTCCTCCTCTCCTGCTCGCCTTTGTATCTTCCCCTCCTCCTCCTCAAAAGCTGCGCTCTAATTCGGCGTTACAGGGGATGGTAAGCGTCTTTCATTTTTTTTTCGTATTGACAATATTATGGACAACCTAGATAAAGTAATTTTACAGACTACCCAGGTGTGTGGCGGCAAACAAGCCGTTTTACAAAACAAAGCGAACAGAGTACTACACATTCTATACGAAACAACCTTGAGAAGAAAAGGAAACATATGCGTTATTGCGTCCGCTTCCGCATAAAGATCAGGCGTACCGTTATCTTGGAATTCTCCACCGGGGTCCGGCGTATGAATGCTCGCGGAAACATGGTTGTGCTAACGTTGCTGAATCTCCCACCTTCAGCGTGAAAATCAGCTGCCGCTTGTCCAAGTATTGCCGTTGATGGTTGAGGTCTTCTGTGGCGTTTGTAGGTTCAAAAAGAAAACGTTTCGGCACCGGGCACGTCCTTTTTCAGTCCGGTTAAAAACCCCACTAAAATTAATCTTTTCTTTTTTTCGTAGATGCGGAAAAAATGTGAAAACATATTTACGACGTGAAACATATACACTAAAATATCTCACTGAAGGGCTTGATGCAATAGAACGCAAAAGGCAATGCACCATAATATACAATTAATGTAAAAAATAAATGTAGTTATTTTAGGCAAAGTCAGTTTTGGTGCATGTGGTTGCCGTGAAGCCAACAATACCTGGTGCCATAATATGTTGATCATTTTATTTAAATATTCTTTCTTGTTGTATTATTCAATCAAGCGAGACAAAAAATAGTTCTGTACCGATTAGATCTATAATAAATATCAAGAAAAAACGACGGCAATATTTATTTGGAAATGTTAAGACTCCTCGGTTCTAGAGTATTCGATTTATATATTAATTGGGATTTCTTATTTTTCCGATCTGTGGTGCTTCTAAAACCCCACCTTGAACTCTAATTAAAAAAAAACAAAAAAACATTATGATTTATAGGCTATAGAACGAAGGTGACGAGAAACTGGCACGGGAACAAGTGTTCCAATGAGGCTTTGATGTAGATTCATACGTTTTCGTACACCTGTTCAAGTTTGTCCTGTATATTGATTTAGACTTTTTTTCACATTGAGCCATATAAACGACATTTCGGAATTGTCATTAAACGTGTAGTTTATTTTTCAACTAAACTTGTTGTCTGTACTTCTGCAGGAGTTAGCAACCAGTAAACCTAAACGCAAAACAAATTACAGCGATAATAGCTGTAATTTGACAGCTGGCAAAGAACCAATTATGGGGCTGTAGTTGTTTTTATACTTTACAATGAACTCCTAAACAAAAAAAGGGATATAAATTGATTTAATACATGTATAACTTAGATAAATACTATAGCCACTTCGTCGTATAATCCCTTCGCAGATTTAGAGAACTATCATGACGTGGAATAAGCTTTTGACTGCCCTCGTTAAAAGGACACTACAACGAACTTCTAGCGCCTTATTTTTATCGTCATAACGTCAACCACGTACTCGCGACACAACGGAGGCATCCGTTTTTTGCTAAAAAAGTCACAAAAACATAATTTAAAAGTGATAAATCGAATGTCGTTACGTCACTATGCACTTAAAAGCAGCGCCGGTCCGCGGAAGTACGCCAAGCTGCGTGCGTGCGCGCCTTGTCTAACCGGATTTCCCTTCTCTTCCGGCCCATTCAACTCTTGCGGGGAGCAGGGAGGGGCAACCGAAGACGTCCAGGTTGTGACGCGTTGACGATGCCAAGTGGCAGAGCTGATAGCCACGCCAATTTCGAAACAGCTTTGCCCGTGCCGGACGAAGTGACGTCACGTCTGCGACGTCAATTGGTCCAGTTCCCTTGATGCATCGCGCTCTTCGATGGCTGATCTTCTAGTGCTCGCGGGAATTTGTCCATTGGAAAGAAAAATATAGCCATCCGTTCAAAATACAAGTGTTCGATTGTCATTAGCAGATTCAGTTGATAATGTTTAACTCAATTATGAAAGTACGAGGTATATTTAATGTTTCGATACAGTATCCCTTCAAAGAAGGTTTACGCCATCGGTTATCAGTCATTCCATCACGCATGAACCAGACCGTGAATTGCAACAGTCATGTAGTGTGTATGAAGGGAACTGCATGGCGTTTCGGGGAGAGGCGAACAGGCGACTGTGATAATATGAGTAAGGAAAGAGCCTCTGTGGCGACTGGTGGTCTTGTTGACGGGTGATAAAATGACTGAGAATGCAAGCGGTAACCTCTTTTCAGGAGGGCATTCAAAATAATGTACCATGTCATTGTAATTGTTTTAATATGCGCGAGAATCACATCGAGAAGTAGCTACAGCATGTCACTAAATGCATTGTACATTAAAAAAAAACACATTACCCTTGTTTTTCCTACTAAGTTCATCGGACATAAAAAAATAAAAAAAAACTCTGACTACAAAACTAGGTCGAAAAATGGTTGGGCTTGAAAAGCCAGACTGTAGTCCAAGAAAGAACATATGTGATACTGCTTTATCTTGCTAAGATCCTGCTTTCATAATAAAACCGCTTTCGACTTCGTACTTCACTGGTTATAGTGAAGGAAGAAGTTATGCTCATTATAGTGACTAACCTTGTGCATGTTATGCCGGTTAGACAGTCAATTTTTAGAACCTCGTTAACACTGTGTAGCAACCCAGTTGATTCTAGGCCCATTTCCGACATGCCCAGGAAGTACTGTCGTTATTTTTTGAATGATGTTCTGAAAATAATCATTTCTACTGGCAGGTGTTACGCAGGCTTATAGGAAAACTTGAGGCTTACCGGGCAACTTCAATGCCTCCTGGAAATCTTCCTCTGGATCCACGAGCAGACCCTGCGCTGCACAACCATATGTGGGCTGCGTGGGGCGACGATTCTAAATGAGGATAAAAGAGTCTGATGATGCTCACCTATTTGTTTTTATAGTAGATTCCACAAATGAAGGGTACGGGAAACATCTGTAGTCTTCTTCAATTCTTAAGTTTTATTTAACGAACGATGTGTCATAGAATAATTGAGACAGCACACAATAGGTTGCATTGCATTCTTATTTACGAGAAATTAAACCTTGTGTGTAAAATGGCTCATGTTGTTAAAACTAGAGCTTTTCTGTAAATAACTAGGCAACAAATGTTTTACCTTATTACAAGAACACAAGAACTTGGATTCAATATTTACTTCTCATGTACGATAGCATGCCAACATGATAATGTCTACATCAGGGCTAAGAAAGGATTATGGGACCGCAAAAAAGGTGGCTGTGTCGACATCTGAAATAAAAAGCGTGGATTGCACGTTTTTAGATAGGCGTTATATTGAGTATGCAAAAATCTTGTGGGGCGCAGATACCGAATAAATTTGCTTTAAATTTAAAGAAAGTTCAGAATCGAGCCTCTAGGTTAATTTTTAGAACATATTGTCTTATTCATTCCTACAAACAGTATGTGAGCTCGCTAATGCTTAATAAAAGAAACATAAAAATCTGGTTCCCCTTTCCAAATCAGTCATAACTGGTTAATGGTAAATCCACCAGACCGCCTTAAACCTAGCACAAACAAATCCTCAAACAATCACCACCTCATATACACAAAGACCCATAATCTCTAAGACCCATAAGATCTAAAAAAAAGGAGATTTGAAATTCGAAAGTTTTTTCGACAAATATTAGGATTTCATTTGTCAATTTTGATATATACTTTCTCAGGTTCACTGAACTTAGAGCAATGTACGAAAGCATGGAAAGCTAATATTTTTTTTTAAAATAGTTCTACTAAGATGTTCTGAAATAATTTTGCTAAATTTTCTTTTTTTTGTATGTGTGTATGTGTGCGCGCGTGTTCAGCTTTGCAATCACTTTGTCATAAGGTAGGTAAACGTCACTGTTATTAATTCCTTTTTTTTGTGGGTTTTGTAATTGAAATATGTTGTGCCGAAGACCAGTCAAGCTGGTCGGACAGTTTTTTCTTCTCAGCTCCCACCATACTTACATGGTAAATAAAAATATTATTATTATTGTTAACTACGTCGCCTAGCGTATTTTTGGAAAGCTTTAAAATTGAAACATTCAGAATATATATATATATATTTATTTCATGGCCATAGATAAAGTATACCTAAGGAAAAAGCGGCTTTTAGGCAGCTTGACTAGCCGAAACAAAGTGTGCACTTTTATGCACTGTTAGGTATGGCATTGTTGTCCAGGAAAGTAACAATAATTGCGAGTGATCCGATATAATATAATAGCCAAGGAAGCGTATAATTGACTCTGACATCCAAAGTTAGCTACGCCATGGATGTATCTGACGGATTTGATAAATTAAACTATGCGAGTGAGGCTGAGCGATGTTTAAAAATGATTCTAATTTTCCTTTCATGACAGACTGGAATCATATGATTAATAGCGGAGATTACAATATTAACGCATAAGCTTGGAGTACTTCAATAAAAGAGGAAATGACGAGGAAGTCGAGGGGACTTCACCTACTGCTCGAAAAGCTTTAACACTCTGAGTACGTTCAAACTGGTTGAACCGGTAGGTCGTCACCAGGGTTGTAAGGTTCCTAGGTACAAGTAAGTGCAACTCGGTAACTAGATACTTCTATTGTACGTAAGGTACAAACCTGGGTATCTTTTTTTCTGCATCTGTACTTGTATCTTAGGTACGTTTTCCAGTAACTTGTCACTTAGTGAATTTACTTTTTGCAGGTATTTTCGTACCTAAACCATATAAAGTAAAAACTGGGAAGCACAGACGCGCTAAGGTAGAGCCGCAATGCACGTTCAGTCAGAGATAATGAACATCGAGATAAATTCAGGTGGTCTCATTTGCTTGCCGTGCCCCCATAATGAACACGTTAATTTTGACAGCGTGAGACGACATGTGGTCGTCTGCTGCGCACTGCATTGTAAGCGCTACCGAAAAGCAGTAATGCAATATGTTCATCGTTACTTGCAAGTAAAAATTCTTAGGAGTGAGAGAAAAAAATCCAAAATGTAAGGTCGCGTGAATAACCAATGAGGTGGAATGCTATCGCACATAGGGTTTTCTTAAAAATAAACTCATGCGAGCTTCGAGATTCGAAAAAAAAAAAAAGCCTCGTCAGGCGAGCAAAGTGGCAATAAAAACACTACGAGTTTATTTTTTAAATTATTTTTAAGTGTCGTTTTTAAGTGCTTTATGGGAGCAATGGTTTACACAAGACACTGCACTTGCTCCAACAAGAAATTTGAAATGTGTCAAGCACATACCGCTGCTATTAAACGTGTTTTTAAAATTTAACACAGGATTTCGAACAGCGCGGCTGTGGAGCGCGTTTTTAGCGTGTACATCTCATTATTAAACTCGATTCGGTGCAAAACAAGGCGTCACTTTTTATAGCACATGACTACTCACGAATGTCAAGCGTAACTGCGCTAAAATTCAATCTCGCGACCTATGCCCTCTATCTCAAAGAACTCAACTTGCTCGTCTTGTCCTTTTTCACAAAACTTACTATTCCTCTTCTGATTTTCGAAACACCAACTGTCACCCGCAACCTCACATCTCCTTGCGTCACGATTACGGCCTTAAACTTAAACCTGTATTCTCCAGAAACTAATCAATTCAGAAATTCCCTATTTTCTCTCGCCATTACTAACTGGAATTCCCATCCTGAAACCATAGTACGTGAATCTAACCCTAAGACATCCCGTGAACTCTGCAAGGCAAACCTGAAGAGTGTTGTTGTTTAACATGTTTATCTGTTAATTACTTTTTCTACCTGTTGTGTTTTGATATCTGTCCTATTAGTTTTTATTTTTGTTGTGTTATCCTATTATTTACCTTGTCACTCTTCCGCTATTTGTATATGTCATTTGATCCCCCCTCTTGTAATGCACTTCATCTGAAATTCCTTTGAGGTATAATAAACTGAACTGAACTGAACTGAATAGTGCAGCAAAATAAGATGCTGCTAAAGGTCTACGAGTTACTGCTGTTTATCTTTATTTGTGGCACTGACGGATCAATAAAGCAGTAGTTTCGAACTTGCGCTTGTATATCTCCTTTATAAAAAAAAAAAAAGAGATGCGTTATTCAAAATATTTCCTCGTTACTTGACAAGATACACTTGAGCATGGAAACGGTATCTTTTATAAATTTTAGCAGAGAAAATATATTTCATCATTTTTAACAATTTGGTTGCTTTTGCCGAACTATTGTGAGATGTAAGGCATTGACGCTGCTTGGCACGTCGGGTGGTAATTTTCCCCAGACACACCATGCTTTCTGCTTTACCCATTTTTGTTCAACCAGGGTGTTTTTAGTTCCTCCAACCGCCACTTTGGCCTTTAAAGGACCATGTTCTGATATGTGGTTGTGCTGTCTTTGTCTTACATGTTTAATCTTTCTTCAATCTTGACTATGTTTTCTTAATCTCTTTCTCTCTGTCTATATATATATAAGTATATTTGCACGTTTCACGACGACTTCTTCAAACCAATCTCGATTTTGATTAATTCAATGATTAATCACGTGTTTATTTTTATTATCAGTAAAGGAAATATTTTTTTCTGCAAAACTCTAACTTGTATTCCATTGATTTTCCCCATCAACGTCCCGCACGACATTTTTGTTGGTCGAATTTTGTGCCGTTCACTACTATTTGCCATTTTCATTAAAATTGAGAGACTATTTTAAGTAACTGTATCTGTACTTAGGTACCATCTTCAATTATTACATAGATATGTGCCTCGTGTCCTTTTTACACGAGTAACTGTAACTGTATCTTAGGTACATTTCTGAAGCAACTTTTACAACCCTCGTCACCACGCTACGTGAGCATGGCATGTAAGTACTGGTGGGTAAAACGTTTCTACATTTATTAACGCGATAGCGTTAAGAGCTTGTGTCGCAGAAAAGCCGACGTCAGTGGCGTTGTGATGTGATAATCGAAAGGGTCATGACGTCACAGCCTCACGACCTCGCGCGGGGATTTCCAACAACGCTCGCGTGAAACGTGACGTCACGCGTGGAATGCAAGTGATTCAAAACATGACGTGGAATTCGAATGAAAGGTCTCCGCATGTCTCAAATGATTTCACTTCATAAAGTAATCCATTTGCCTTAAACAAAAATTTAAGAATTTTAGACGAGATTCATACCTACGACCCTTCGGTTGCGAGCAAGACACACTACTGACTAGGCTAGTGTTGGTTAAAGTACATCTAAAAGGTGCTTCAAGTAAATTACAAAGTAAATGAGACGTGATGTACTGTAAGTGAAGTAGTAAGTACACTGGGTGCCATGTAGTTGAAGTAAAGTACTATAAATACAATGTACTTTCAAAGTAAACTACAAATATTTTAATACAATCTTTCATGATGTCCTTTAATTCCTCTATACACGTTTGCAAGTCCGGCTTCAGGGCACTGCCATCTTGCTCGCTGGGGTGCGCTTGGACACGTCCTGATCCGATTACGAAGCCGTCATAATCGGATTATGGCCGCTCCCAAGCGCACTTCACTGGGCAAGATGGCGGCACCCTGGGACCGGACTTGCAAACGTGTATACAGTGATTTTTTGACCGGTGTGCATTTCTTAGGGGTAATCAGGGTGCATGACCGATTTTCAAAAACAGCGGCGGATATTTGATAAAGTCAAGTGGCCACAGAGAAGTTATTTTCAAGAATTGAGCCAAATTCAGAAGTCCTTCTGAATTAAGTGCCGCTTGCACTGTACTTTTGCACCCAGGAGTGTTAAATATATACTAGGAGAGAGCATGACATCAGTGAGTGTGCAAGCAAGCTGGGGATAATGAATCATAGTGTGATACTAGAGATTGAGGTGCGAAAAAATTGAGGAACTTTTAAGTCGAAGGAAAAGACAAAAGAGAAGGTCTCAAAAC